GGCAGCCTCTGGGGAAAGTCCAGCAGCTCCAGGGCTGGAAACTCTGACAGGCAGAGAGGCCTGGGTTGTCCCCACCACCCCACCCCACATCCGCTCTCACAGCACCCCCTTCACCCATCTTCCCCAGCCGTCCCCCAAATCTGGGTCCTGTTCTTCATCCAGAAGGGGGATGTGGGTGCCCGAAATGCGGACATCTCATGGCAAGACCAGGCCTTGAAGGACAGGCCTGGCTTCTCGACTTGATTTATCTGCCCCTCTCTACACCATGCCTGCCTGGGGAAGAGAGACGGGATGCTCGGAGCAGGGTGAAATGGAGGAAGTGGGAGAGGCTTGAGCGAGAGAACCAGAAGGGAAAATCAAGGAGAGGCAGGGATGGTTCCTAGGAGGCCAAGGGACATGGACGTGGTAGAGAAGACGCAGGAGCCTGGCAAGGGCTGACGGAAGGAAAGCAAAGGATGAATTGCGGAGAGCAGAGACAGGGTTGGAGAAGGCAGTAAGGGGACAGGAAGAGGAGGCCAAGAAAAGGGGCCAAGAATAGAGAGAGGCTGAGGGCAGGGGTCTCCAAAGGTAAAGAGGAGAAGGCTGGGTAAGAGGGAGTTGCCCCTATTCCTCCCTCCGCCATCTTTTATGTCCCTCAGATTGCCTCTGATGCGGCCTGAGAGGCTGCGGACTAGGGCAGGTGTCATGGAAAGAAAATGTAGGGAATACTGAGGTCTCCCTCCTGTCAGGAGTTGAAGCACCAGGAATTGGGGATTTTGAGGGAGGAGAGGCTTAACCCCCACAGCACCGGGAAGCAGCCAACTCCCCTTGCCTCCTTCCCCCTTCGTGGCTTGCGGTCTCTCTTCCCCGCCTTGGCCCCCAGGAAGTGTGAGTGCTGGGGGTGGTGAGGTTAGGAGGGGGAAGCAGCATATGGGGGATGGGGAAGGCATGCACTAGCTTGGAGGGGCTGGGGTAGTCGGGGAGGGCTCCATAGATGCCTAGGGCATCCCTGGGCCCAGGGCCTCTCCTTTGAAGCCCTTCCAGTCCTCCAAGGGCTTCACCTCAACCTCTCACCCTGCCTTCCCCACTGGGCAGTCCAGATGGCTTCAGCCCCTGGGCTCCAGAGGCCCTAGGAAGGGGTGGGAGAAGCTGGGGAACTAGGATTCCTGGGTCCCTGAGGACCTTAGACTGGCTGCCCTATTTCCCCACCCCCATGGTCCAGCCACAGGCCAAAGCCCTGGCTTCGTGCAAACTTAGTTCCAAAAAAACAGGAAGAGAACCTGAGGCTGGAGTTGGGGTGGGGGTTGGGGGGTAGAAAGGAGAAAGAAGTAAGGGGGAAGGGTGGCCAGCCAAGGTGGGAAGAGCCTCAGACCTCTCCATCACCCTGGAAGGAGGCATCACAGCCTGGTCCTCATCCTCCCTCACCCCAAGCTGCTGCACCTGGAGAAGCCTGGCCAGGCCCCTCAGCCTCTCTGGCAGAGCCCGGAGGTGGGGGCCTCCTAGCCTGGGGAGGGGGGGGCTCTGTGTGCCTGTGTCTCAGGCCCATATCTATTTTCTCCGCGGCTAATCCTGTTTCCGCCTGCTGCCCCCCACACTAAGCCTCACTCCCCTAATCCCCAGGGTGTGGGGAAGGGGGGCCAGCTTTGCTCAGCTGCCCCATTCAGGGCCTCGTATCCCTGCTCTTCAGCTGGCTGGAGCCAGCAGTGTTGGCCCTGGTGCCCCCAGCCCTGCACTGGACACTGCCTGAGGTCAGCACCTGGAAAGAGTTCCAGCCTCCTTTTCCTTCCCATGCCAGGGCCAGTGCCCTCTACCTTTTGGTTTCTTGGTGGTGGACACACCCTGGCAGGTGCCCTTGGGCACTGAGGGGTAGGTGATAGGGGTTCTCACCGTCACCCCGCTCCCACTTTTCTAACCCCAAAATCTTCCCCCCACCAAAGATGGGGCAAGTTTGACTCAGGGCCCAGTTTCAAGAGAGCTGCCCACCGGCTTGGCCGGTCTAGCAGGCCTGACAGTGAGGGGAGCCTGGGGGGGGTGGCGGGAAAGCGGGGAGAGATGGGGCGGGGCCCCCAGTTCTTCCCCCTACCAGGCAAACAGACCAAACAGACCTTCCCTGGCTCCCTGGCACAGCTGCCCCCCCCAACCACCACACACGCCCATGCCCACAAGGTCTTAGCAAGAGGGGGCATGCCAGGCTGGGTGGGGATGGGCCGCCCTCATGGGGCATTAGGGGGCTGGGCCCTCTGGGGTGCAGAGGTGGGAAGGGTGCCCAAGGTGGGGTGGGCATCCTGGCACCAGTGCCCCAGCCTGCCAGGAAGAAGGGGGAGGCTGTTGCCCCACCGACCCTCCCAGATGATGGGGTTAGGAGTGCCCCCTTGGCCTGGTTGGCACCAGCCTAGTTCCAGGTGGCACCTCTGGCATGGGTGCCAGAGCCCTGGCTAGGGGAGTTTCCCAGAAGCTAGAGAACCTATGAACACCTCCCCTTCCCACGTGTGTCCTCTGCCTCTTCCCTCCTTCCTTGCTACTTCCTGGCCATGGGCATTGGAGTTAGGCCTAAGGGGTTAAACACTCACCCTTGCCCAAGCCCTGAGTGAGTTGCATGGTGAACCAGCCTGAGCCTGTGACCTGACAGCAGGGTCAGCCAATCAGTGCCCCTGCCACACCAAGTTGCCACGGAGATGGCCCTGGGGTGGGAGAAGGGAGGCAGGGAGGCGGGCTTAGCAGCCGCTGGATAGGGTGGGGAGGGAAGGAGGGAGAGCCACGTGCCTGCGGGCGCCCAGCTCTGGGCCAATGGACAATGAGGACAACCCCACCCATCCCCCTCAGGAGGGACAGGATCTGCTTGGGCCCAAGAGGGTGCCCAATGCTGCTCTGTTGCCCACCCGGTTTTGTTTGTTCCTAAGTCCTGGGGCCATTTGCCACTTGTACTATTTGTAAAGTACAGGTGGGAGAACCAAAGGAAACTGGGAGTGCTCCCAGACTGCTTGGCTCCTATGGAGAGAGAAGTGATTTGGGGACTGAAGGTGGGAAGGGGTGGGTTATCTTAGGGTGTCTTGCTGTGGCTTACAAGCAGGCACATGGGTGCTTCTCACTCAAGGCTTCTGCGCAGGCATCCTGGCATTGCAACGAAGGTGACAGACGGGGAGGCAGGCGGAGACAATGCAGTTCTTGTGTCCTCAAGAGGAAACCTGTAGCCCTTGACTCCTCCAACTCGCCAAAGAACCTTTCCCCATCAATGACTGAAACTGAACAGCTGTTGGGAGAGGCAGACAAGACACTGACAAAATGTCAGTGGGACTTACCCTAAGGATCATCTAGGTCACCCTTTAATTTTACAGATGAGGAAACAGGCCTCCTTGGGGAAGGAAGTGACTTGTCCAAGGTCATGCAGCTGGTAGTAACCTGACTCCCTGGGGTGATCTGAGGGAGGGAGGCAGACCTGTCTCGCAGCAGAGGCCGTCTGTATAGTGAAATCTACTTCCAGGTGAGGCCTTCTTCCTCCCTCCCAAGGCCAGAACATTTACTGAGCCCCTACTGTGGGTCAGGCATTGTGCCTGCATTGGACTCGTTTAACCTTCACCACAGCCATAGGAGTCTGGTGGAACTGTCCCATGTTACAGATGAGGAAAGAGGTTCAGAGATTAAATCACTTGTTTAAGGTCACAGGGCTAATCAGCCACATAGTGAGGATTCAAACTCAAGCCTGGATGACTCCAGAGTCCAGCTCTTTCCAGGCCCCAATTCTGTCTTCAGTTGCTCCAGGCCCACCGAATGTCAGGGCGAAGGGCTGAGCCCTTGGGGCTTCCATTCCCACCCTTTCCTTGTACAGTGAGGAAATGGAAGCACAGAGAGAAATGACTTGCCCAAGGTCATTCAGCAAGATAGTAGCAGAGCCAGGACTTGAAGCAGATCTCCCCACTTCCAGGCCAGACTTACTCTATTACCCCTTCCCTCCCCTCCACCAGCCTTCACCAAGGGTTGCTGGCAGCTCTGAGCCTTCTGGGGCTTTGCCTTGGAAGGGAAAGCATAGAGGGTGGAAGATGGACCTCTGGAGAGGGGGACTCTCCTGACTGGCCGGGAACTGGGAGGGAGAGGTGGTGGTGGTAGACCAGGGGGAGGGGTGGGACTGGAACTTGGCCTATTGGCAGTGGGGGAGGGGCGGGGAACGATGCTTATCGGTGCGGGGCAGGAAGCACCCGCGCCAGCGACACCCCAGCAAAGGGTGGCTGCTCCTTGGCCCCATGGGGGAGGGGAGGATGGTGGGGGGAGGGATGCTGGGAGCTGTGTTTCCCTTTTGGCCTCTAGAAGGGGGGATCTAGAAGGGGAGATGAACTTTTAGTGGGTGGAGGAGGGACAGGAGGAGGAGAAGGAGGAGGGTGCTGGGAAGCTGCCTCTCATGTTTGCATAGTGTTTTACAGTGCAACAAATGCTTTAGGGAGATAACGTGAGTTAAAGCACCTGACCTTGCCTTGAACAGACCTTGGTCCAGTGTGAATCTGAACTCTCTCATCAGCCTCTCTGGGCTGTAAGGAGGTTCCATCATAAAGACTGGCACCACACTTTGCAGATGACTGAGGCTAGCTGCCAGAGCCACCCAGAGCCCTTCAGCCAGTTCTTCATGAAGCCTGAACCAGGACCCAGGCATCCTTCTTCCCAGTCCAGTGCTTCTTCCAAAGGGATGGAAAATGGGGCAGGTGAAGTAGATGGGTCCCTAAGAAAGGACCAGAAAGGCAGGGCTCCCGCTCTCACGTAGAATAGTGCACAGGTGTTAGGAACACGAACCACCTGGCTTTGAACCCATTCTGCACTTAACTTGGAAAGTTATTTCACCTGCCTGCACCTCAGGTTCCTGTCTGTGAAATGGATGATAATCATTACTTTAGAAGATTGGGGATGATGAAATGGGTGTAAAGTACTTAGAAGACCACCCGGCCTGTAGGCACCTGGCCAGTGTTGGTACTCCTTCCCTGGACCCCCTTGCAGGGCTCAGTGCTCTTAACTTCCCCTTCTATTTCACCCAGCAGAAGAAGATGGGGAGCCCGGAGGACGACCTGATCGGGATTCCATTCCCAGAACACAGCAGTGAGCTCCTGAGCAGCCTCAATGAGCAGCGCCAGCTGGGCCACCTATGTGACCTCACCATCCGGACCCAGGGCCTTGAATACCGCACCCACCGGGCTGTGCTGGCTGCCTGTAGCCACTACTTCAAGAAGCTCTTCACTGAGGGTGGTGGCGGGGCAGTCATGGGCTCTGGGGGCAGCGGGACAGCCACCGGCGGAGCAGGGGCCGGTGTGTGTGAGCTGGACTTTGTGGGGCCAGAGGCCCTGGGTGCCCTGCTCGAGTTTGCCTATACGGCCACGCTGACCACCAGCAGCGCCAACATGCCGGCCGTGCTTCAGGCCGCGCGGCTGCTGGAGATCCCATGTGTCATCGCTGCCTGCATGGAGATCCTGCAGGGCAGCGGACTGGAAGCTCCCAGCCCTGATGAGGACGACTGCGAGCGAGCTCGCCAATACCTGGAGGCCTTCGCCACAGCCACAGCCTCAGCCTCAGCCTCGGGAGTTCCCAATGGTGAAGACAGCCCTCCACAGGTGCCCCTCCCACCACCACCACCGCCACCTCGGCCTGTCGCCCGCCGCAGCCGCAAGCCCCGAAAAGCTTTCCTGCAGACCAAGGGGGCCCGGGCCAACCACCTAGTGCCCGAAGTACCCACAGTGCCCACCCATCCCTTGACCTACGAGGAGGAGGAGGCAGCTGGCAGAGTGGGCAGCAGTGGGGGCAGTGGTCCAGGGGACAGCTACAGCCCTCCCACAGGGACTGCCTCACCCACTGAGGGGCCCCTGAGCTACGATGCCTATGAGGGTGAGGAAGAAGAGGAGGAGCTGGTATATCCCCCAGCCTATGGGCTGGTGCAGGGCAGTGGGCCCCCGCTGTCCCCCGAGGAGCTGGGCTCAGATGAGGATGCCATCGATCCTGACCTGATGGCCTACCTGAGTTCCCTGCACCAGGACACCCTGGCACCAGGCCTGGATGGCCAGGACAAGCTAGTGCGCAAACGCCGCTCCCAGATGCCCCAGGAGTGCCCAGTCTGCCACAAGATCATCCACGGGGCAGGCAAACTGCCACGCCACATGAGGACCCATACTGGTGAGAAGCCCTTCGCCTGTGAAGTCTGCGGCGTCCGTTTCACCCGGTGAGCACCAATGGGGAAGGGGCCCAGCTGGGGCCACGTCATGTCAGGGGGAGGGTGAAAGGGATTATGAGACCTGAGGTGTGGAGGTGGGTGATCCTGGAGGGGCTGAGAGGGTGTAGGGGTCACCAGAGTGAAGAGCGAGACCAGGAAAGGGAGGCCAGGAGAAACAAAGTCAAGGGAGGTGGGTGTGGGGCATGAAAGACTGGGCTGTGCAGGGGGCAGAGGAGTGGGTGGTAGCTAGGCCCAGTTAAGCTGGGGCCAAGTCAGCAACGGTCTCCTGGGGCAGCAATGGGGAAACAAATGGGGGGAACGGGAGTGGGACAAGACCTGGGAGGCTGGCCAGGACAACCAGGGATCCCGCCCTGAACATCTCCCTTGCCCCTCCCTGCTGCCTGTGCCAGGAATGACAAGCTGAAGATCCACATGCGGAAGCACACAGGAGAGCGCCCCTACTCATGCCCGCACTGCCCAGCCCGCTTCCTGCACAGCTACGACCTCAAGAACCACATGCACCTGCACACGGGGGACCGGCCCTATGAGTGCCACCTGTGCCACAAGGCTTTCGCCAAGGAGGACCACCTGCAGCGCCACCTCAAAGGCCAGAACTGCCTGGAGGTGCGCACCCGGCGGCGCCGCAAGGACGATGCGCCCCCTCACTACCCAACACCCTCTGCCGCCACCCCGTCCCCTGCTGGCCTCGACCTCTCCAACGGCCACTTGGACAACTTCCGCCTCTCTCTGGCTCGATTCTGGGAGCAGTCAGCCCCTACTGGGCCCCCAGTCTCCACCCCAGGGCCCCCTGATGACGATGAGGAGGAGGGGGCACCCACCACACCTCAGGCTGAAGGTGCCATGGAGTCCTCTTAAAGAGGGACGAGTGGCCAAGCTGGAGCAGCACGGGGGCTGGGGACGCCCATGCCAAGCAGTGGGAGTGTGCAGCACAGACGGCGCTGGGGGTCCAGGCACTGAGCCTCCCTGGCATCGAAAATCAGCCCCTTCCCCCAGAGCCCTCATTCCAGTTTCAAGCTGAGAAGGTTTTGGGGCAGAAGCTCCCCAGATTGGGGTGCTCTCCCAAGGAGTGATACGTATGATACGATGTATATATTTACAGCTCTGTTGTAACGGTGGGGTCCCTGTCCCCAGCTGCTCCTGGGGAGTAGAAGCAATAATGTATTTCTGATTCGTGGGGTCCCTCTTCGGCTATGCGGGTTTCTAGGGGGTGGGGGGCTTGGGACCAAAGCCTTGCCCCGCCCCCATGCCCCTTGGGGTTTTGGCTGTGTAAGGGGGTGAAGGACTGCCCCTCCCTTTCGAGACCCCTCCTTCCTGGTTTCTGTTCCCTTTTCCTGGCAGTGAATTATGCAAAGGGGGCGGCAAAGGAAGGGTAAGTGGGGGAAAGCAAGGTAAAAGCTTGAAAGACTGGGGGACTGGGCCTGTAAGGAAGGAGCCATCCTAGTCCCCCTCCGCCCTGCTCCCAGCGCTGAGTCATGGGGTCCTGGAGAAGGGGCGGGGTGGCCTGATTGGCTCGCCCGCCCCTGGGGGCAGCGGGAGGGGCCCCGCCCAGCTAGGGGAGCCGCTCGCTGGTTCTCTTCCCCTGCCCTCCCCTCCCGCGTCCCCGGGCAGGGAATGTCTTGTTCCCGCCGCTCCCTCCCCGGGGCCAGAGGGCAGGGCGGGCCGGGCGGTGTCCTACCCTCTTCTCCTCCCCACCTCCTCCCCGCCCAGGTGCGAGCTGGAGCCGCCGCCACCGCTGCCGCCCCTGACTCACGCCGCCCCCGGGCTGGCGGTGCAGGGTGGTGGGACCGGG